CACACACACACACAAACATTCTTATCTTATTTATTCTACACCTTTCTTAAAAATTTTAAGAAAGTTGTAGAATAATTAAGAAAATGAAGTGTAGAATTTCAAAAATATTCAAATATTATAAAAATATTTAGTAGCTCCCAAAAATTGTAGAATTTTGTAGGGCACGCTATTCTTTCTCCCCCATCAAATATATTTGGTATAAAAAATTCTTCAAGTAATGCAAAAAATGGGTAAAAATATAAAAACAATGAAAGTGCTCAAGCCAATATAGTTCTATTTGATGGTGTAACTGCTTGGTCCTTTGGCTATTTGATGAACACTAAAGGCACTAACATTGATAAATTAAAACTTATAAGAAATGATATGAGTTTGAGCCAATATAGTTCTATTCTATTTGCTCAAATTCCTTGCCAATAATCAATATATTGCAAGATTATAAAATTACGGTAAATTTTAGCTCGGTTTCCTATCCTAAATGGAGGTGGTATGACTAGTTTATAGAGCTAATTTTTTAGATTGGTTATGTCACATCCAATTAACTCTTTTAAGCCTGCCTGAGGTGTAACAAAGTGCGACTCAATTAGGTGCAATTTCTATCAACACCCATCCTGAAGTGTACTCATTTCAATTGAGTAAGAAAAATTTTTTTGTGCCTAATCGTTATTAACAAATTCTTATATTTTGATTCATCAAGTAATTCTTGTATATTAAATATAAACAAGAAGCATGTACAACTTTTAGGGTCCCGTAATTAAAAAAAATAAAATAAAAACTAGCTACTGTAGGTTCATGTCACATGAGGGGAGGCAAAAGGGAAGGAGATGGAGAGGGAGACCAAATGAGCAAAGGGGAGGCAAATCAGAGAGACAAGCTGCAAGAGTTTAGAATATAGAGGAGAGAGGTTGAGCGCGACTCTAAAAGTGAGATGGAGAAGACTAAACTGGAGGTAGAAGAGATTGAGTGAGAGCGAGATCATACCCAGGAACACACAATTGACGAACGGACAACAAGCAAGCAAAAGCAAAGTACTAAACATGTACAATTCATGAGAGCCTTTCTCTATGTATTGCTCCCACTGTCGTATGTTCGGTCACTCCAATTCTCAATATCACCACTTACACCCCTATTTAAAACCAAAAAAACAAAGTGCTAAGCCAGATTTAGAGATCCCCCCTCCTCTTAATCTTCTCCAAGTTAGTGAAACTGTTTTTCATCACAAGGATATTGCTGATCCCAATAACACTGGTAACCGTACCATCTAGTCCACTGGCTGACGTTGTAGGTTCACTTCCCCCTCGAGCAATCTTTCAACTACTTAGCCTCCACATAATGCTCAAGATGAAAATCCTTTGATTCCTCCTATGGAACTTCTGTTGGTGGTGGTAGACGAGACTTTTCATACTTCACCAACTCTAGAACCTACCATTGATGTAATGGTTGGCAATCTCGTGGTGGAGTGTCCAGCCCTAGCTGTGCCCTAGCTTCAAGTCCAAC